CACCTCTTCCTGCCCCGACCCTGACTGCCGTTTTCTGTACCTTTCGGACTCTGCTCTGGATTACTGACCTCTGCCTACCTGTCGTTTGCCTGCCCCCTGTTTTTGTAAATAAACTTTTGCTATTTCGAACTGTCTGCATCTGGGTCTTATCCTGAGTCGTGATAGCTTCTGAAAAACCATTTACGCAGTTCCCTCGTTAAGCTACAGTTGTAGTATTATAGGTTAATATTTTGCTTGAGGTGTGTTGGTGAGTCAATCACTCAGTCCATCTTAAACCATTGATTGCATACCAGTCAAGCATTGTCAAACTCTGTCAATTAAATTGTAATTTGAAGCAACAGCATTCCTTGTTTGGTTGAGGAGTGCATGTATTTAATTGCTAAAAACTTATTTTAGAAGGTTGTCAAGTATTTTATTTACACCCTGCGGATCCTTTGGTTCTGACACTATAATCTGAATTAATTTTAATGTTTTGTAATTTAATTGATCAGTTATTGTGTACCGACTGTGAAAGTATTATTTTGTTAAAGTGAATATGACATTTACAATTTTATATATATATTTTTAGACCTGTTATGAATATATGCTATACATCTACATTTAGCTAAGATTTAAGAAATTACATGCACTAGTACACAAACTTCAACATTTGCGGTTTCCTTGTCTCAATACAGTGGAACTGTTATCGTAGATCACATAAAGAATTATAAAACAAGCCTGGGAATATAACTTCAGTGGTCTCCCAATGCTCCATGTTAGGAGGGCTAAAGGCTAATCAGTTCCAGTACTGCGACATCATGTCCTGTGTGGGGACTGCAGTTCTTAACCTCAGTCCCCAAGGCTTGCCAAATCCTGCCTGATTTACAGTCACTAGTAAAGTCTACACACCCCTGGTGCAGTCTTCACATTTTGCTGCCTTAGTTTTTTTGACCAATTAAAATAAAATAATTAATAAAAAATAAAGTTAGTTATTGATTGGGTTTGTCTTCTTGCCCAAAATGTAATACTTGGTGGAAGCACATTTGGCAGCCTTTACAGCTGTGAATTATTTTAAAGAAGATTCTACCAACCTTGAACAAATCTTAGCGCAAAGTAACTACAAGGTGCCACTACCATTAAATACACATGTAATACCAGGGTTGATAAATAGTCAAGGACCTGGTAACAACAATTGTAACAAGACACACCCTTTCAAATAACTACCTGTCATTTTCAATTAGTTTATTTCTATACTGAACAAAAATGTAAACGCAACATGTAAAGTGTTTGTCCCAATGTAAAGTGTTGGTCCCATGTTTCATGAGCGGAAATAAAAAATCCCAGAAATTGTCCATACGCACAAAAAGCTTATTTCTCTCAATGTTTGTGCACAAATGTGTTTACATCACTGTTAGTGAGCATTTCTCCTTTGCCAAAATAATCCATCCACCTGACAGGTGTGGCATATCAAGAAGCTGATTAAACAGCATGAACATTACACAGGTGCACCTTGTGCTGGGGAAAATAAAAGGCCACTCTAAAATGTGCAGTTTTGTCACACAACACAATGCCACAGATGTCTCAAGTTTTGAGGGAGCGTGCAACTGGCATGCTGACTGCAGGAATGTCCGCCAGAGCTGTTGCCAGATAATTTAATGTTAAATTCTCTACCATAACTTGCCTCCAATGTCGTTTTAGAGAATTTGCAGTATGTCCAACCGGCCTCACAACCACACAGCCCAGGACTTCCACATCCGGCTTCTTCACCTGCAGGATCATCTGAGACCAGCCACCCGGACAGCTGACGAAACTGTGGGTTTGCACAACTGATGAATTTCTGCACAAACTGTCAGAAACCGTCTCGGGAAGCTCATCTGCGTGCTCGTCGTCTTCACCGGGGTCTTGACCTGACTGCAGTTCGGCGTCGTAACCTACTTCAGTGGGCAAATGCTCACCTTCGATGACCACTGGCACGCTGGAGAAGTGTTTTTTTCACGGAAGAATCCCAGTTTCAACTGTACTGGGCAGATGGCAGACAGCGTGTATGGCGTCGTGTTGGCGAGCGGTTTGCTGATGTCAACGTTGTGAACAGAGTGCCCCATGTTGGTGGTGGGATCATGGTATAGGCAGGCATAAGCTACGGACAACGAACACAATTGCATTTTATCGATGGCACTTTGAATATACAGTGGGGGAAAATGTATTTAGTCAAACACCAATTGTGCAAGTTCTCCCACTTAAAAAGATGATAGAGGCCTGTAATTTTCATCATAGGTACACGTCAACTATGACAGACAAAATGAGGGAAAAAAATCCAGAAAATCACATTGTAGGATTTTTTATGAATTTATTTGCAAATTATGGTGGAAAATAAGTATTTGGTCAATAACAAAAGTTTCTCAATACTTTGTTATATACCCTTTGTTGGCACTGACACAGGTCAAACGTTTTCTGTAAGTCTTCACAAGGTTTTCACACACTGTTGCTGGTATTTTGGCCCATTCCTCCATGCAGATCTCCTCTAGAGCAGTGATGTTTTGGGGCTGTCGCTGGGCAACATGGACTTTCAACTCCCTCCAAAGATTTTCTATGGGGTTGAGATCTGGAGATTGGCTAGGTCACTCCAGGACCTTGAAATGCTTCTTACAAAGCCACTCCTTCGTTGCCCGGGCGGTGTGTTTGGGATCATTGTCATGCTGAAAGACCCAGCCACGTTACATCTTCAATGCCCTTGCTGATGGAAGGAGTTTTTCACTCAAAATCTCACGATACATGGCCCCATTCATTCTTTCCTTTACACGGATCAGTCGTCCTGGTCCCTTTGCAGAAAAACAGCCCCAAAGCATGATGTTTCCACCCCCATGCTTCACAGTAGGTATGGTGTTCTTTGGATGCAACTCAGCATTCTTTGTCCTCCAAACACGACGAGTTGATTTTTTACCAAAAAGTTATATTTTGGTTTCATCTGACCATATGACATTCTCCCAATCCTCTTCTGGATCATCCAAATGCACTCTAGCAAACGTCAGACGGGCCTGGACATGTACTGGTTTAAGCAGGGGGACACGTCTGGCACTGCAGGATTTGAGTCCCTGGCGGCGTAGTGTGTTACTGATGGTAGGCTTTGTTACTTTGGTCCCAGCTCTCTGCAGGTCATTCACTAGGTCCCCCCGTGTGGTTCTGGGATTTTTGCTCACCGTTCTTGTGATCATTTTGACCCCACGGGGTGAGATCTTGCGTGGAGCCCCAGATCGAGGGAGATTATCAGTGGTCTTGTATGTCTTCCATTTCCTAATAATTGCTCCCACAGTTGATTTCTTCAAACCAAGCTGCTTACCTATTGCAGATTCAGTCTTCCCAGCCTGGTGCAGGTCTACAATGTTGTTTCTGGTGTCCTTTGACAGCTCTTTGGTCTTGGCCATAGTGGAGTTTGGAGTGTGACTGTTTGAGGTTGTGGACAGGTGTCTTTTATACTGATAACAAGTTCAAACAGGTGCCATTAATACAGGTAACGAGTGGAGGACAGAGGAGCCTCTTAAAGAAGAAGTTACAGGTCTGTGAGAGCCAGAAATCTTGCTTGTTTGTAGGTGACCAAATACTTATTTTCCACCATAATTTGCAAATAAATTCATTAAAAATCCTACAATGTTATTTTCTGTATTTTTTTTCTTCTCAATTTGTCTGTCATAGTTGACGTGTACCTATGATGAAAATTACAGGCCTCGCTCATCTTTTTAAGTGGGAGAACTTGCACAATTGGTGGCTGACTAAATACTTTTTTCCCCCACTGTATATGCATTCTGGTCTAAGGCCTTGGGGAGGAATTTCACTTCTGATCTCCACGGGAACAACTAGAGAGTGATATTAGCTTGGTTTTGACCCTCGGTTTAATGCATGAAAGGAATAAGTATAAATCCAATTAAAACTGCCTCAAGTTCTGTAGTTTTGCAATTATAACTTTTTCCTAGGATAAAAAGGATTGACTATGAGGGAATCAAATATTTTTACAGTAAAATTAACATTGCATCACACCCTCAAATATGTCATTTTTCTAGGGTTAACTAGAACAGTGTTTCCCATACTTTTTTCACTCAGGCCCCCCTTCCAGCATTGGGGAACACAAACACTGTTCATGACACAAACTGTTCACACCCCTCTTGTTGGCAAAGAGTAATTGTTGCAGATTTAAAGCTTGTCTAATATATATTCATGTGATATTTGAGTGAATCGAATACTACTACAAAATCTATGGGCAAAAAAACATAGCTAAAAACGTTAGCTGACATGGGCTAGTTGATCTGGACATTTCTGTCGAGCTATAAATAGCTCTGTAAGGTATACAATGAGTGACATAACAAGAAGAAAACTGATGATGCACTACCCAATTATGAAATTGCACCTTGTGCATTCTACTATTACAACTTTCAAGAGTAAGTTGAAAGCCGGACATGTTAGAATCACCTTTGTCAACGATTACAGCTGTGAGTCTTACAGCTGTGATTCTCTAAGAGCTTTCCACAGCTGGATTGTGCAACATTTTTCCATTATTATTTTCAAAAATCATCAAGCTCTGTCAAATTGGTTGTTGATCATTGCTAGACAACCATTTTCAGGTCTTTCCATAGACTTTCAAGCAGATTTCACTGTCTTCTCGGTAAGCAACGTGTAATTAATAACTTCACCATGCTCAAAGGGATATTCAATGCAACTTATTATGTGACTTGTAAAGCAAATGTTTACTCCTGAACTTATTTAGGCTTGCCTTCAAACTCTCTTCCCAACAGGGAGTATTGGAGGAAACAAAGTGTTGAATCGTCTGAGTTCTTTTCCCGCTTCTTTTGTAGACACTTGTCTTGGGTTACATTCTGGAATCTTTCAGATGCCCTGTTCAGCCAATGCTCATGGTAGCCCCTTTGTTTGAATCTGTTATTCAGGTGATCCGCCTGTTTATCAAAGTCATCTTGTTTGCTACAGTCTACGTACATGGCTATATTGGCTGATTAGGAAGCTCCTTATTAGGGTTAAAGGGTGGAAACTGTTTCCCCGCGGTAATGTGTTTCAGTCAGGTTTTCTGTACAGATCTGTGCCAACACTGTTACCATCTCTAATGATAAGAATTACACAGCTGTTTTGGGTGATACAGATCTGTTTAAAAACTGTTACCATCTCTAAAGTCCCGAGTGGCGCAGTGGTCTAAGGCACTGCATTGCAGTGCTAGCTGTGCCACTAGAGATCCTGGTTCGAATCCAGGCTCTGTCATAGCCGGCCGTGACCGGGAGACCCATGGGGCGGCGCACCATTGGCCCAGCGTCGTCCAGGGTAGGGGAGGGAATGGTCGGCAGGGATGTAGCTCAGTTGGTAGAGCATGGCGTTTGCAACGCCAGGGTTGTGGGTTCGATTCCCACGGGGGGCCAGTATGAAAAATAAATAATGTATGCACTCACAGTTAGTAAGTCGCTCTGGATAAGAGTGTCTGCTAAATGACTAAAATGTAAATGTAATGATAAGAATGTCAAGAATATTCATCTGTTTCTTTTTTATCATAGCTCAAGATGTATTTCAGGGATTCGTTGCAGCTGTTTAAAAAGTCATAGAGCTCAGCAGTTCATGTTCTTCTCCACGAAAAATAACCATAATAATGTCCACATAGCGATGCCATAACTTTATCCGGCTTAGAAATTGATTGTTTTGGCAAAAAATTATGTCCTGTTCAAAGAGTCCCATAAAAAGGTTGGCGTAATTGAGAGCAATGGTGCACCCCATCGCTGTGCCTCTTGTTTGTAAGAAGAAGTCATTCTGGAACATGAAAATGTTTTTGGTAAGCACCAGTTCAGCCAATTCTTTGATGCATGGAGTGCTTGGAAGAGCCTCAGGGGAGAGCTGATTCAGAAAGGTGATAGCTTCTAGCCCTCCATGGTGGGGAATACAAGTATATTGACTCTCAACATCAAATATAGCCATAATTACATCTCCCTCAATGGACCCTTTGGACTTCAATGAGCTTATCATGTCGATGGAATCTCTCACATAGGCTGCTATGGTGGTCACGTGGTTACAGGAGAAAATCAACATAGTGTATGTTTATATATTCTTGGTCAAGGAGCCTATAGAAGAAACTATGGGCCTTCCTGGGGGATGATCAAGCCTTTTGTGAATCTTAGGCAGGGTATAGATCACAGCAGTAACGGGACTATCAACCTTCATGATGTCAAACTCCTTGGTTATGTCACCATTATCTAACAAACACTGTAGTGTATCATGAAAATCGTTGTCAGGTCGGTGGGCAATAGTCTATAAAAAGTGGTGTTCATCAGCTGCCTATTGACCTAATTCACATTGTCTACACGATTCTGAATCACAATGGCACGCCCCTTGTCAGCAGGTTTGACTATCACATTGGTATAATTTTTTATTTCAATCAAAGCTTCTCTTTGTTCTTTGGGGAGATTATTGAATGTCTTATACTCCCTTCTTTTAGTCATTATTTGGGTTACAGCTTTTTCAACCAGTCTGCAATAAGTTTCCAATGATGAATTCCTATTTTTAGTCATATTGCCACTGATTATCTGGGTGACAGGGACACTATCAGTGGGCATCTCAGTGGAATTCTCAGTAGTGTTGCCAGTGCCACTCAAAATATTGGAGGTATTCGTGTCAAGGCTGAAAAACTCTCTAAGTCTCAGGGTGCAAAAAAACTTTTGAAAGTCAATAGTGGTGTAAAAGTCATCACATCATGTGGTGTGGACAAAAGACAACCCTTTACTCAGGGTGAACTCACATGGGGTGTTTATGGACTTGTTGGATATGTTTATGATGTTCAAACATTTTGACTCTGTGTCCAATACCGCTGCTGGTGTCCTCTTCCTCTGGCTCCTCCGGCATTTCCTCCACTGCTGGTATGGTTTTCCCTTGCGCCCCTCCTTCTTTTCCTAAAAAATTGTAGCTCCGCAATCCATCACTTCAGTAAACAAAGGAAAGGAGGGGTGCTCAACAAAAATGACAAAAATCATGAGAATGGCTTACCAAGAAAAACTTCCAAAAGGACAAATTCCAGGTAAACTTGACAAAAAAAGGCAGAGATTGATTTATTTTTGCTCACTTTAATCCTTTGTACAGGATGAGAAACAGGTGACTGACGTTTCGATGTCAAGCTGACGTCTTCCTCAGAGTGACCTGACCATTGCACTTAGCTCCTATTTATAGCCTAGTGGCCCATTGAGACACAACAATGTAAAAAATGTATAATGACAATGTTTCAAGGTAAATGGCAAATTATAGCACAAAATAATAAGAGAAATAGTGTGTCTTGTTAATCAATAGTCAAAATATATCAAATCAAATGTCATTTGCCACATGCGCCGAATACAACAGGTGTAGTAGACCTTACAGTGAAATGCTTACTTACAAGCCCTTAACCAAGTTAAGTAAAAAACAGATAAGTAAAAAATAAAAAATAGCAAATAATTAAAGAGCAGCAGTCAAATAAAATAACAGTAGGGAGGCTATATACAGGGGGTACCGGTACAGAATCAATGTGCGGGGCACCGGTTAGTCGAGGTAATTGAGGTAATACAGTGGGGGAAAAAAAGTATTTAGTCAGCCACCAATTGTGCAAGGTCTCCCACTTAAAAAGATGAGAGAGGCCTGTAATTTTCATCATAGGTACACGTCAACTATGACAGACAAAATGAGATTTTTTTTCTCCAGAAAATCACATTGTAGGATTTTTTATGAATTTATTTGCAAATTATGGTGTAAAATAAGTATTTGGTCAATAACAAAAGTTTCTCAATACTTTGTTATATACCCTTTGTTGGCAATGACACAGGTCAAACATTTTCTGTAAGTCTTCACAAGGTTTTCAAACACTGTTGCTGGTATTTTGGCCCATTCCTCTATGCAGATCTCCTCTAGAGCAGTGATGTTTTGGGGCTGTCGCTGGGCAACACAGACTTTCAACTCCCTCCAAAGATTTTCCATGGGGTTGAGATCTGGAGACTGGCTAGGCCACTCCAGGACCTTGAAATGCTTCTTACGAAGCCACTCCTTCGTTGCCAGGGCGGTGTGTTTGGGATCATTGTCATGCTGAAAGACCCAGCCACGTTTCATCTTCAATGCCCTTGCTGATGGAAGGAGGTTTTCACTCAAAATCTCACGATACATGGCCCCATTCATTCTTTCCTTTACACGGATCAGTCGTCCTGGTCCCTTTGCAGAAAAACAGCCCCAAAGCATGATGTTTCCACCCCCATGCTTCACAGTAGGTATGGTGTTCTTTGGATGCAACTCAGCATTCTTTGTCCTCCAAACACGACGAGTTGAGTTTTTACCAAAAAGTTATATTTTGGTTTCATCTGACCATAGGACATTCTCCCAATCCTCTTCTGGATCATCCAAATGCACTCTAGCAAACGTCAGACGGGCCTGGACATATACTGGCTTAAGCAGGGGGACATGTCTGGCACTGCAGGATTTGAGTACCTGGCGGCGTAGTGTGTAACTGATGGTAGGGTTTGTTACTTTGGTCCCAGCTCTATGCAGGTCATTCACTAGGTCCCCCCGTGTGGTTCTGGGATTTTTGCTCACCGTTCTTGTGATCATTTTGACCCCCTCAAACAGGTGCCATTAATACAGGTAACGAGTGGAGGACAGAGGAGCCTCTTAAAGAAGAAGTTACAGGTCTGTGAGAGCCAGAAATCTTGCTTGTTTGTAGGTGACCAAATACTTATTTTCCACCATAATTTGCAAATAAATTCATAAAAAATCCTACAATGTGATTTTCTGGAGAAAAAAAATCTCAATTTGTCTGTCATAATTGACGTGTACCTATGATGAAAATTACAGGCCTCTCTCATCTTTTTAAGTGGGAGAACTTGCACAATTGGTGGCTGACTAAATACTTTTTTCCCCCACTGTATGTACATGTGATACATAATATATTTGAGTGTCTGTGAATCCGGAGACACAGAGACCCCCAAAAAATCAAGGCAACAACATTAGTCTATATAAGCAGCCCCGCAGATGCATTTGAGCATGTATATGACTTTTGTGGTGCTACAATTAATGAAACTTTGAATTTTGTATTTTTTACTTGTTCTCGAGTGGTAAAAACGTTAGTATTGGTTGTCCTGTCACAATGCACACAGTGGTCACACTTGTAATTACCATTGGGCGGGCCTGGGAACCTAGTGTCATGCTTCTTGGGTAGCTGCATGCTGTGTGTAACGGAATCGGCTAGATTTTGCGCACGGCTAAAACAAATGCGAGAGGGCCATGTTTTTTTTTTTATGTTCCAGTGTTTCAATACAATGGATTTGACGCGACCGGCACATGGGCTGTACTCCGTGGAAAAACACAAATGTGTTATGTCTGTGATGGCTCTATTTGTCCTAAAGCATATTACGTATCTACGGTAAGTCATTATTAGTCATAGTAAATAATAATGTTTGCAATTCTAATTGAAAGGCCCAAACACAACACAGAACAGCAATTCCAGAGATTGCTTGTCCAAACAATGTGAATGACCATATTGAAAAAGCTATTACAGCAGTGTTTTTCCAAACTTATATATCAAAATGACAGGAAATGATTGAATATTAGCCCATTTAAGTGAGTCCCCTTGTTCAGCTGTGTGCGCTAATGTACTGCTTTCTTTTCAGTTTATTTGCTTGTTAATACTGTACATAAATCCGGTTATGGAAAATAGGTGAGTCATTTCAGGACCTTCAGTTCCCTGAGGGACCAGATTATTGAAGTAGATTAGTAATGGGCAGCCAGGGTTGGGTAGGTTACTTTCTAAATGTAATCCATTACAGTTACTATTTACCTGTCCAAAATTGTAATCAGTAACATAACTTCTTGATTACCAAAATTTAGTAGCGTAATATGATTACTTTCAGTACATTCTTTATTGTTTTTCTCTTAAAAGGCATTAGAAAAAGACAAAAATTATCCATAAAAGGCATGTGGTGTGTCATCATAGTGGTCTCTGACTGACTTGTGGTCAGACTCGCTCAGGTGGAACCAACTTAAAGATGCACTATGCAGAAATCACTCAGCCATTTCCTGGTTGCTAAAATTATAATAGTTTGCCTAATTTCAGTTTATGTGACAAACAAGCAGTCATTGTGTAGAGAATAATTGTACCATCTACACCGCTGTGAAGTATCTTTTCCATAACCCAAAATATTGTATATTCAGCTGTTTGAAGCTGGTTTACAAAACCAAAAGTAAATTACACAAAAACTAACTTCAGACGTGAAGCATAGAAATAGCACACATAGAACAGATCTACCGCTTCTTAGACTTGCTTTCAACGGGAATGAAATATCTATAACTCACATTTCTATGAGAATTTGGTTGGGTCGCCCAAAAACAACATAATGTAGCTTTAAACATGCGCCTTTATTCAATGCTGAATTGAATGTCATTGAGAAAACAGGTGACATAATGTATTTTTTTCGCAAATATCCTTTCTGAATCCAATAAGTAATCATCTAGTGTTTCAAAAGTATCTGTAATCTGACTACAATAGTTTTGCTGGTAATGTAAATGATTACAGTTACAGTTTTTGGTAATAAGATTACATGTAACTGATTACATGTAACCAGTTACTCCCCAACCCTGTGGGTAGCATATGAGACCCTTGAGGCCAACTAGTTCCCTTGTAATCTGCGGACATTCCAATAGCACATCATGCCAACGCTTGGTTCTTATAACTATGAGAACCATTAGGAAAACCATTTAGATAAGTGATGTACAGTGTGTCTGTCTGGTTTTTCACAGGGCTCAAACACATGAAAACAGGCACTGGCAAGTACAGATTTAAGATCTTAATATGTCAGTTTATCACATCAAAAAATAATTCCTGCAGCAACAAGAAATATTTATTATTGTGTGGGTTATAATTAATGGCATTTTTGTAGGGGTTGATACATTTTTTGTTAGGGCAAATCAAGTCTGACATTTATTATTGGAAATGACAAACTTAATTACACTACAAGTTTCCATTTCCTGCTGTAAAGGAAATGTCCTGCAACAACTGGGTGGTAAAATTAAAATCCTGCGTCTGTAGCAAAAGATAATTTGGAAAGGGAATAGTTTTACGATTAAATATACATACAATATTACTTTCCAGTCTAGAGGAAATGTATCACGATCGTTTACGGACGAGAAGGACCAAGGCGCAGCGTGATATGCATTCATATTTATTAACGAATAAACACACAACAAAAACAACAAACGAAACGTGAAGTCCAAGGTAGACAAATAACATACCTCACACGGAACAAGATCCCACACCCCACTAGTGCCAACAGGCTACCTAAGTATGGTCCCCAATCAGAGACAACGAGCTACAGCTGCCTCTGATTGGGAACCACCCTGGCCAACATAGATCTAAACGATCTAGAAACTAACATATACAAACCCAACACAGAAAATACACACCCTGACTCAACAAATACAAGTCCCTAGAGTCAGGGCGTGACAAAATGTCATCAATAATAATACAAATTGCATGAAGATCAACTTTTTAGGCAAGCTGCTCAATTTATGACTGAGACCTAATACTCAGAATAAGAGAGTTGCTTCCGACAACATACTATAGCATGGATCATCAACTAGATTCAGCCATGGGCGGATATTTTCTTTAGTGGTGGTCGGGGGGCCAGAACATAATTACAAATCATTGTAAACTGCAAATTAACTGCAAGAAGCCCAAACAGATATGTTTGACTATAACATAATAATTTCTAACCTTGCTTACATTTGTATACAATCATGTTTTTCTCTATTATGTGTGGGAATACTTGGGAACAGATTTCTTAAATTAAAATAACTTGGAGCTGATTTCCTGGAGTTATTTTTTACAGTCTTTTATG